AATCAATATTTTATTAATGTAATGAAATATTTACTTACTACAGCTATTGTTTACATGTTGACCGTTAAGGACCTGTTGGGTTTCACTTCTCACTCTACATTCTAAACTTCGTAGTCTGTCTGTAAGTAGATAATGTATGCCCAACAATTGATTTCAAACTCTAAATATAATTTAAAAAACTAATCTAATTTTTAATTTTTAGTTACCATAAAATGTCCATTTTGGTAGATGTTCACCATTTGTGATCCTCATCGTACTGTGTGTTGTGGTCGTGAGGTACGGGTCAAAAGAAAGTTAACACACCAGTTAAAGTAATTATTGTCACGATTGACTATATTGTTCTTTTTTTATAACTAAGAATACAATAATCGGTTTTGTACAGAAAAATACGTATCCGTGTCAGATGTCAAGGAAGTAGTGGTCAGCTGGCGGCGGCGGCGACCGGTTCGCGCTGCCGACCCGCGACCTGACAGACTAAAGTAAGAGATGCGGTCGCCACCCATCGGTGACGATTGTAGTTTGCATCCGCCACCGGCTGGGGTTGCGGTGCGACCGCGTCATGTGGAAGCTTTCTATGTAGTTGTTTGTTCTTACATTTAAGCCAAACACACTAAACCCAGATGGCCGAATAATGTAAATCCAAAAACTTTGGAAGTATTCAAAAAGCTCGCCCAATATGTTTTCTATTCTCATTGCACGTACCAATTGTTGTATGTGTGCAAAACCTTCTAAAATGTGTAAATTATTTGGAAACCCATTTAACCTATCTAGGCAAGTTTAATAATTCCATTATCTAAAATCAATTGTTTTAGTTAAAAACTTTCAACGCAGCTGACCACTGACGATTTCGGTCATATAGAAATTTATATAAATTGGGCGCATCCGCGGCGTTGAAAGTTGTTGTATTTATGGTTTAAATATGGTTGTACTAATTTTTATTATTAAGTCTAATTTCACTTAAAATTACCATTCTTAAAACAGTGCCTTACTGTTGTTTCTCACTGTATCAGTCAAATTATGTTGGTGTACAAATCTGACAATGGCCTATGAACAACAAACAATTATTATAAAGTTGTAAGTATAGAATTTGCGTAGGAATATATATTATATATGTTTAATTTAATGTGCTTACTAACCTGATTAAAATGAAATTCTGGTTTTTCCGAGTTCCGTAGAGAATAGCGTTCTACGCGTAGTGAAATTCGTTAGAGTTAATGTATATGTCCCTGTATTGGAAAGGTCTCTGGCTGTTAGGTTAAGCATTTGTTATGCCTGGAGGCCGTGTGAGGATGGAAGAGGGTAGGCAGAACAGAATTTAACAATCAAAGTTAGTAATAACCTTTAATATGTATGTTAAATAAGAAACGTTTATCAACACAATGTAAATAACAGTTAAGTATGGACAATAGGTCTCGTAAAACAGAACGTTGAGCTGTAGAGCACTGGACGACGTCTGACCAATTAGCCCTGTTCGCAGTGGGTACTTATAGTGGTCGGTCGGCCCTGGACGGTGATAGTTGGACTCATAACTAGACCATTGATAGTAGTGTCCTGGATGTCGTCATATGTAGAACGCAGAGGCGTAATAGTATAATAGTACTAAAGTCTAAATAAGAAGCTATTTTAGATGAATGACCATATAGGGATTGTCATCGCCGTATGGTTGTAGCAGTAGAATGGACGTGAAGGCTTTTGCGTCACACGCCCCTCCTTAAGTAAAGAGGCATATTTCGTCGGATGTCCTCTTTAGTATAGTGGTGGATAGTGTAAAACGTCCCTGGTTGCGATATGATGAGTTGCCACTCTTGGTTGAAGTTCAACATCTTCAAAATTGGCAGGGTCCGTTGTAGAAAGCGGTTGTCCAACTCCGTCAGTATTGGTTGGCCTAGTAACAGACTCAGAGCAAAAATTGTATATTCTGTTATTACATGGGAAAAGTCTTGTTACAAGGGTTGAAACAAAATACAGACAATAAAGTATAATTATTGTACAAATGGTGTATAACAACATGTCATGTCTTCTAGTATTAGTTATTACATTGTATTGAAAATCTTTCTGATTAAGTTTATCAGGTACATTTAATAATGATTCAGATATACGTTTCACATCATTAAGTTTGTTAGTTAATACATGGTCTGTCAATAATTTGTTTACATTTAAAATATTTAACTTATCCGTATAACTAGTGTTAGTAATGTTAATCTGTGGTACAAAATCAATGTAATCGCTATTCTCATTAATTATATTTGGAATCAGCACATCCTGATTGGAATATGCTTTACAATTAACGGGTATATGTATTAATCCTACCCCATAGATACGGGTGTTACTGGTTTCTATATTTTCATTACAAGTTAATAAAATATTTTCTTCCCTGGTAATATATAACCAAGAATTTTTAAAAAGTAATTTGTGAAAAATACTAGTGTCTAATTCGAAATATTTTATTTTACAATCCAAAGGTAATTTAGGTGGTTGAAAAATCAATTCAATTTCACAAATAGGTTTCATAGATTTAGGGTGTAACGGTTGGTATTGCGGGCATAGGATAAAGTTTTTAGTACGTTTACATTGTAATGTTTGTAGGTTGTTAAAAGTTGTATAATAGTCTTTACTTTTGCTAACAGCAATATAGTCATAATTAGAATCAATGTAAATATATTGATCATTAGTAACATGTTTAGGTAAAGGTATTAAATTATATAAGTTTAGTTCAATTTGGTTTACAATTGGTATATCAATTACAAATACAATAGTTTGGTTCTTTGAAAATATAGTTGTCTCAGAAATCTTTAGTAACTCACCAACGTCGGCAGTGGTGAAACCTACAGGTAAGTCAGTTGATTTTGGTAAATGTACTTTTATGTCTTTTAGAGTGTCTAAAAGTTCACTGGGTGTTATAATACTCGAATGTATTTGTCCTACCTGTGCGGCGTGTACTAAATCCGACAACAAGTTTGTATCAGAATCGTACTGGTCCGTTAAAGCGTTCAATAATAGAAACTGCTGTGTAACGGCAAAGCCTATTTCATTAAGTGTCGCTATACTGGTCAAACTTTGATTTATTTTATCCAATTGTTTAGAAATTACTTGAGTATTATCATTAAGATTTTTAGTTAAAGTGTGTAAGGATGTCATACCAGATTTAATGATTTTTATTTGTTTATCTAGTACATCTAATTGTTGATTTTCTGAGTTATGTATATTCTGTATATGACCTAAGTTAGTATCTGAACATAGAGCGTCACATACTCCGAATAGTACGTGTGCTATGTTTTTTATAGTATTAGTAATCGAGCGTTTAGAAAAGTGTTTGTAGTTGGGGTTATACCCTACTACATCTAATAATGCTTCCCTTCGGATATCTATTTTAGTTTTTGTAAGTTTTTGTTTCGCACTCATAGCAGTGCAGAAAGAACTATAGGTCTTGTTACTATGACTACCTAATGTGTCGATGAAAGTACATAATTTATCAGTTTCCACTGTGATGTTTGTTAGTGTTTGAGCGTTTGTAATGTAATTACTGAAATCATAATATGTCACTAGTTTCCATCGGTCATTCGATATTTTCAATATCCCTTGATGTTCATAGTAAAGTCCCGATTCGAACTTGGTATCAGTTATCAGCGTGGCTTGTATATGAACAAAAAACGCTGGAAGGGTGGTGATCCAAAACATTCTGTAATGTATTAAATCATTTTATAATAATAACAATGTTCGATTATAAAGCAACTGGTCTGTGAATATTGTAGATAATCGTGTTTAGAAGAAGTTGTACCCGTACGTATTTATGCATAAGTACTTTAGAATTTTGTGTTAAAAGAAGTAGAGAAGTAGCTAATGTGAGTTTGTTAGCTCGGCACATAGTCGTTTGTATGTCATTTTCCTAACTAATCTGTCAAATATGCACCTAGTCCATTGTAGGTCTGTAATCGGATGGTGTGGTTGTATACAGTTAAAATGTCCCCTACCACAAAAGACAGAATGTGTGTGAAATAGACTTAATACATTCCCTTTTGCGGTAACTACTGGACCGAGTTCTATAGAGAATAGCGTTCTACGCGTCGTGAAATTCGTTAGAGTTAATGTATATGTCCCTGTATTGGAAAGGTCTCTGGCTGTTAAGTTAAGCATTGTAAAATGTATCCCTAACTGGGTTAAAATGGTCCTATCAGTATCCCCACTCCAAAGAACGATAAAAGAAGCGTCCCCCGGTTTAGTAATATAAGATTTTATGTATTCCGGGTTAAGGTTGTTAAGAGGTTCGTGTATGCTGTCATACAGTTCGGCAAGTAATGGATAGAGTCGTTCATTAGTGGATGTCTCGGTCTTGCCGAAAATCCGTTGGCATTCCCTTACAAATTCGGGGTATTCCGTGGATAATTTAAGAGGTCTAATGTATCCCCGTTTATTAATTACAATGGGATTCCCTGTAAGGTGAACGATATCAAATCTATCCAACGAGTTCGCTATGGCTCCCGAAACGAGAACTCGTTCTTCCGGGTTCAAATTCATGAACTCCAAATCGATGACAATGAAATTCCTATATAAACAATGCCTTATTAGTATAATAATTCTGAACAGGTTTTATGACAAGTTGAAAATGATATTGTGAGATAGTACCAATGCCATGTATTTGCCAGAGAATAGTGTTTCAATAAAAGTGAAAGGTCAATAGAATAAGATAATATTTTTTTTTTATATGAGAATAATAAAGTTAGAATATAAAATGTTCATGTGTTAATATTATATACAAAAGAAAGAGGTTATAATTTTTTAAAGTGAATTATTTACACATTTCTTTACGTTATTTATGTGTAGTTTTACGTCTTTCCTCCCCTTTTTAATTGTAATATTATGATTATCATGAATGTCTTATTGTAAAAGGTCCAATCCATTCTTCGCAAAGTTTATTTGCTTTATTGTGATTTAACATGTAAACTTGATCATTTACGTCTAAATCTAAAGAATTGACGGTGCGATCATATATTTCTTTTGATTTAGTTTTGCCTAGCGATTTCATTTGCTAATTGCATTTTATGTCGTAATTTACATAAATAAGAGTCATAATTGTAAATAGGTCTTAATGGTTGTGAGAACGATGTGGGTACATTTGGCGGGCGGCCAAAAACAATTTCATATGGAACATAATTAGTGCTAGAATGTGGTATTACGTTGTAAGTAAACAAAGCGAATGATAGATAGTCGTTCCAATCTGATTGGTCTTTATTTATATAGCACCTTAGATAATTTTTGAGATATCTATGCCATCGTTCCACTGAGTTAGCCTGTGGGTGATAAATTGTCGTGTGTACTTTCTGAATTTTGAGAAGTTTGCACACATTAGTAAAGAGTTTGGACATAAAGTTTGTACCTTGGTCGGTAATGATCGTGTCTGGTATACCGTAAATGCATACAAAATGTTTTATGAAGCTTTTTGCAACTGTACTAGCTGTCATAGCTCGGGTTTGTGCGACGTCTTCTATACATTTACTATTCATAATCGATTGCGTATGTCCTCCTTCCTGTAACATTGACGAAATAAAAAATATAATACACCGTACAGAGCGTGTTTTGTTCGACAGACTTACTTGTACATTTTGAGTTCGTACACGTAGTCTTCCATCATAACATGGGCCTTGGCAGTTTTGGACTGCGTGTCCTTCTGTAGCGAAATATCGAGCGATGTTTTCCCAGTCGACAACCTTGAGGTCAGCGACGAAAACTCGTCGTCTAAATCGAGTTCGTCGTCGCGACCTCCAGACGGCGCTGCGACGGAGCCACGTACAGCGACAAGTTGAGTTTGAATACGGGCAGGCGTGAACGACGTGTACGTGGTCTCCGTGCTCGGACACGATTCGGAATTGTTCTCTGGTGTTTTGTTCGCATTGTCGCAATCCCACTTCAAACTCAGCATATAATTGAGCAAACTCCGCGCGTCCCTCAGGGATACATATGTCCGAGAGATACACGGTATTGCTTCCCATATACCGGTGATGGAGCTCAGCGGCGTATTTTCCAAACAGTCCGTCGTCTTCCAGTAGATTTGGGCCGCCAGAATGAGATACGTGTCGAACAGATTCTTGTTGTCCGTCGCCGTCGTGGTTGTCGAGCCTTCGGCGTTTTGCGGGATATTGCATACCGGAATCGCGTATAGTTTTGTCTTCAGGGCGGCCATGACGTTCGATGTTGGAATCTTCCACGATTGAAAATTCAACAGGGTGGACAGGAGTTCGGCTTTGGCCATGCCCGGCTTCGGGTTCTTTTCCACCAGCACCGTCATCATGATCACTACCGCTATGGACGGCATTAGCATCAGTGAATCGAGAGGCACGTCGTCCGTGAGGAGGACTTCCATAAATCCGGAAAAATGACGAAAGTCGCTCAAGTCGACTATTGTCTTGACGGGCAGATTGAGCAGAGTCGTCGATTGCATATTTTTCCAAATTCTGTTGTGGTCCTCGTCCTCCTCCGCCGAATCTACTAATTCGATTACTTGCCCGTCCGTCAATTGCTTTGGTCGTTTCGTCGTCGGTGGATGACGCTGGCCCGAAGAAAACCCCAGTTTCGAATTCGGGCGTTTTTTCAACGTCGTCTGTTTCGCCGGTTTGGTCGGTGCAGCGGTCGACGTCGACGGTGTCGGTGGAAAAAGATCGGTTTCTTGAAAGTCCATCGTTGGTTTGCGTTTGAAAAGATTCTTGCGACTGAAGTGATTCTTGTTTAAAGTGTGGAACGGCACTAATTTCTAAGTCCATTTCGATCGTATTTATATACGGTCGGTGAGGCCTGTTTGGGTTGTTGGCTCGCACTAACGTAGTAACTACGCACGAGTCGTTATTATACCATCTGGCCAACTAGTCCGCCCACGTGCGCACACGTGCCACTACTTTTGCCGCCGCCGCCGCGAACCTCGTACTGGTTACTTGTTCACCAATTTCAAATTGGTATACGACGACGACGACGACGACACGTTTAGGCCATTGACCTTTATCGATTTGAACGTGTGTGATATTGTTTGTACATGTGTAATCTTTTACTTCTGATAATTTATCATAAATAGTTTGGGAAGTAAACGGATTACTGTCGCCTAAAAAAAACAATATACAAAATTTATCCGTGGTATAAATGTACTTGTCTGATTGCGAAAATGTTATATCGCGCAGTTCTGGGTAACAAGTGGTCAATTCCTTATATGAATTAGCAAACCGGTCTTGGTCAAGAAATAATACTATTACGGTGTTGTCGGCTACGCTCTTTATAGTATCGTTTACTTCGGTGACACGCGAGTTGAGAATAATGGAACGTGTATATCGATTAAAGAAATCGTCAAACCCTCCTGTATACGTAATCTTGTGTATATAATTAGGAATATTTTTTATTTCGTATTCCGGGATAGCCCTTGATAACGCATCGGCGTTAGTGTTAAATTTTCCCTGTTTATAGATTACATCGAATTGATACTCAGATAACTCTAGTCTCCAACGGACTAGACGTGAACTAGCGTCTTTGATATTAAATAAATAACATAACGGGCGATGG